TCTCCCTCTCTTCACTCTCTCCTTCTCCCCCTCCCCCTCCCCTTCCCTCTCCCTCGCCCTCTCACTCTCTCTTGCTTTCTCTCCAGCACGGGCTGCTCCGTGTAAACTGGAGTTTAAGCGTCTGCTAGCCAGGAAGCGCGAGCAGTGGGCAGCCGACACGATCACACACGAGCTTGTTAGCGGCGCTCTGTGGGACGGAAAGTTCCCCTCCCCCAGGTGGCGCCCTAGAGGACTGCTGGTCGCACACCTGCACGAGCATAGAGGGGCTGTGAACAGGTATGTCGTTAGTGAGTGTATGTGTGTGTGTGTACATGTGTTTGTGTGCACGCTTGCATCTCTCCCTCTCTCCCCTACGTTTTCTCTCTCTCTCTTTCTCTCTTACCTCACATATACTGTCACTCTTTATTGCCCTCGCTCGCTCGCTGACTCATTCACTCACTCACCCACTCAATCAACCACCCACACACTCACCCATCCACTTACGCATACACTCCCTCAATCACTCACTCACTCAATCACTCACTCAATCACTCACTCACTCAGTCACTCACTCACTCAATCAATCACTCAATCAATCAATCAATCAATCAATCACATCATCAGCAATCCCTCTCACTTACTCACTTACTCACTCATTCAATCACTCACTCACTCACTCACTCTCTTATTCACTCAATCAATCAATCACTCACTCACTCACTCACTCACTCACTCGGCCATCCCATCCACTCACTCACACACACACACTCACTCGTCTCTTTTTTTGCTGTAGAATTCAGGTGAGTCCTGAGATGGGTTTCTTCGCTACGTGTTCCAACGATGGCACCGTGAAGCTGTGGGAAGCTCTGCGCATGGAGGGCAAGAGTCTCGCGAATCGCTCGCGACTCACCTACAGCCGGCAGGGTGAGTGGCGGCGCTCTCACTGTGTACTTGAGGCCCCCGCACACGGTCAGATTCGTGCTGAGCACGGAGCGTGAGTTTCGTGCTCAGCAGGAATCTCACACCCCCGCACACGGTGAGGTTCATGCTGAGCACGGATCTTACGAGCAGATCATGTAGCTTAACTGCAGGTCATGTAACTGATCAAAATGGTGGAACCAATCAAAATGTGCCGCCACTGAGTGAGAACCAATTAAAAAATGCGCCGCCACTGATTTTCGTGCTCAGCAGGAGTCTCATGCCCCCCGCACACGCTGAGTTTTCAGCCTCGCGAGACCAAAATGATCAAACACGACAGATATTTTCCTCGCCGCCTCGCGAGTCCGAAAACTCGCATAAATCGACCCCGCACACGGTGAGATTCGTGCTGAGCACGAAACTCTCGCTCCATGCTCGGCACGAATATCACTGTGTGCGGGGGGCCTTTACTGAGGCTCTTGCGGCGTGCATTCCTCGGGGTTTGAAAAGATCCATCCTGGAGAACCTGAGAACCTGGAGAACATTTATGGGCCCATGTCAGAAACAAATTTAACATGATTTTTGTCTCGTAGAACGAGCCACATGCACGTGCATAAGTGCCGGCTTGCGATTATAACAAGTTTGAGTGTCTGCAAATGTTAGGCTATAAACAACGAGGTTTTTGCAACCGATCAAATTCTATGGTACTGGCAGGTTTACAAGTGTATGTTTATTTGTGAAAATGCGCTTTTCACAGAAGTTTTCTTCTGTGTTTTCTGCACTCCCCTCCAATGTCTGAACCGACTGAATGTGGGTAATAAAGTGCTTGTTAAACTCAGCAACTTTTTTGTTGCTGCATTGAGATGGGTGTTTTTTGATCCTGAAGAGTACGGTTGTAAAAATTCAACACTCGCATGCACACAGACGCAACCACAGACAAATGCACATGCAAATGCACACAGGCACACGCACACACGAACGTGCACACATGCACCTGCCCACGCACACTTGCACGCAGACACGGACAGCCACTGCCACAGTCATGTGCGCGTGCGCACACCCACGCACACACTCAGACCACTAGTGTGTCCACCGTTCACTGCGAAGGCTGTGAGTTCAAACCCCGGCAAGGACAGTGAATTTTCTCAATGCTTACAAAGCTGGCTGTCAACATTGGGGACTGTTACTCACTCGTGGCTTATGTCACTGCGTGAAATTGCAGGCAACGCTCGCATGCAACGCACAGATGCAGCCACAGTCAAATGCTCGCACGCACGCACGCACACACGCTCGCACGCACTCACACGTACACAAACGTCTGCATGTCCTACTCCATAACAGCAATGTTGCATATTTTCTGGGTGCCACAGGAGGACAGATCAAGTCGGTCGTGTTCTGTGACTCTGCACAGTCTGTCGCGTCGGCGTCTGATAACGGCACGATTCACGTGAATCGCATCGAGCAGGGCACTCCTACAATCCGCACCAACGTCTGGATGTCTCGCGAACAGGATCTCAAGATAGAGGGCGCTGTTGTCGACATGGACTTCTTTGATACGGGTCGGTGAAACGACTGGTTGACTTTCTTTCTCTCGTTATCTCTCGCCATCATCGGATGGGCTCAATGTATGTTGCGTACACTTGATTATTTGTTAGTTTCGGTGTGGCCATACTGCTTGCTGGAGCTGTATTTACTTGAATTAATACCATATAAACACTTTCCCTAACACTAACCATAACCATATCCCTAGCCTCTCCCTAATCGTAACACTAACCGTTACTCTACCCCTAATTTCAACCACAACCCAACCTTAACCATGTCTGTAACTATAATCGTAACATTAATCGTAACCGGATACTTACCATGACCCTAATGCTAACCCTAACCTCACTATGACCATAACAATAATTCATTGTAGTGCGTATGTCAAGTGGCCCAAACTACCTGTCACGTTGACTCATTTCTAAGGGAGTTTGCTTCGGGTTGTACTGATGAACTTTGTAATGTCATATCCAGGACCACAGTGGGTGATAGCGTATGCTACGGTGCACGGCGGCATCGTTGGCTGGGACCTGAGAGCACCCAGTGATGCCTGGAGACTGAAAAGTGATGTCAAACATGGTAGGTGTCTCCATCTGCTGGCTGCTTACGCAGTGAAATACACCGTGTACATTTCATGTCTCGAGTCTAGCTGAAGTATTTATTCAGTATAAGTGAAATCTTAAGTTATGTTATTTGACCTAGCGCTACCAAACTTGGCATACTTACACATCTTGGGGAGAATGTGTGTCGCATACCAAAACCACGTCACTGCGGCTTTTATTTGACCTTGACCTTGACCTTGATAATATTTCCCTTCCGCTCTATAACTCGGCCCCTAATTGACTTAGCGCGATCACGTACCGAAACCAGGTCACTGCAACCTTTATTTGACATTGACCTTAACCTTGACCTTGACCTTCATCATATTTCCTTTCCGCTCTATAACTCGGCCCCTGATTAACCTAGCGCGAGCAAACTTCGTATACTTACACATCTTGGGGAGAAGGTGTGTCGTGTACCAAAACCAGGTCATTACGACCTTTATTTGACCTTTACCTTGACATTGATCATATTTTCCTTTCGCTCTATAACTCGGCCCCTATTTGACCTAGCGCTACCAAACTTGGTATACTTACACATCTTGGGGAGAATGTGTGTTGCGTACCAAAACCACGTCACCGCGGCTTTTATTTGACCTTGACCTTGACCTTGATCATATTTCCCTTCTGCTCTATAACTCGGCCCCCTAATTGACTTAGCGCGACCAAACTTGGTATACTCACACATCTTGGGGAGAAGTTGTGTCACGTACCGAAACCATGTCACTGCAACCTTTATTTGACATTGACCTTGACCTTGACCTTGACCTTGACCTTGACCTTGACCTTCATCATATTTCCCTTCCGCTCTATAACTCGGCCCCTGATTGACCTAGCGCGAGCAAACTTCGTATACTTACACATCTTGGGGAGAAGGTGTGTCGCGTACCAAAACCCCTAAGGCAACCAATTTTAACGTACTTGCACATCTTAGGCAGATGAGTTGTGTAACAAACCTTTGGCTTTGTGACTTATTTAACTTTACCTACCTTCTACGTCCTTATAGAGATATTTCATTCATACTAGATCACGGGGGATACATGTAGTTGGCGACAACTGCCCTTTCTAGTTTGATAGTGTAGATGTAGACATAGATTATCATATCTGTGTCAGTAAGCATGTTTTATTATATTTTTTATTAGAGATGTGGATATATAGGATTCCACAGCTATCATTACCTAGTTTCATTTCATGTGTAATGAAATAATAATTAACTAGTTTAACTAGATAATTAAATTGATGTTCAATCAGGTCTTATAACTACATTCTGTGTGGATCCACGTCAAAGCTGGATGGCTGTCGGCACAGCTAGTGGCTCCATCGTGTGCTGGGATCTGCGATTTCATCTTCCTATTGCAACCGTGCGACACCCAGCAGGTAATATACAAAGACAGTGGCACATGTTTTTTTTTTAAATAATTTTCTGATTTTCTGAATTCCAATGAGTGATTCTGTCTTCCCACTCGGAACATTTGGTGAAACAGTTGTACTTATTAGATGGTGTGCTGAGATTTTATTTATTTGTAATGATGTACTGAGATTTGCTGACAGCATACTGAGAGTTATCTTGTTATTGTAGCAGTGCATATAAGAAATGTTTGTTGGAGCTGGGGTATGTATACTATCGTGACACTGGTTTATACATCGTTGCAGTGGTGCGCGTGAGAAAAGTGCTGCCTCACCCGGCACAGCATTCCTGGGTGCTGTCATCTGTGCAGGGCAACAACGAGGTCTCCATGTGGAACGTCGAGACTTCGGCCCGCCAGATGGCACTGTGGGCCAGCACGGCTCCCGCGCTGTCGACAAAACAGGTGAGCTGTTCAATTCGCGCCGTATTGTCTGTGCTGTTTATCCTTGCAGGGCTTCAGCTGTCATCAGATGTCTCGTCAAAATCGAGTCATTATGAAAAAGGGTTATAAATGTGAACGAGAAGCGTCGTTGGGTAAAACCTCTGTTACCCGATCTCATATGAATGTACATATCTTAAACGACCTATATGCTAATTTTCATACTTCAAAAAAAAAAATCACAATTATATCCCTATGCTCCTGTACTATGTTAGCAAAAATTCTGCAGAATGGCATTTCCACTGAGTGGCAGTTATACAGTGAAACCACCTTTGTAGAACGGCCACCTGCCTGAGTGAGACTTTTTGAGTTGCTTTGATTGACCCTTAAATGAGCATTTGACTATATGAAGGATGCCTTTGATTACATTGCATGATCTTGGCACTGAAATCTGTGCGCACTTGTGTACGGGCGAGTAGTGCCGCAGCCGCGGCGCCCTGTGGTGGGCTAACGGTGACCGTCGTTGCAGGCGTCGCGGCATTCCGTGCATTCGATGTACATCGGTCCGAGTGGGACTCGCTCGTACATGCTCACCGCCGGATCGGACATGCGCATCCGCTACTGGGACCTCGCGTATGCTGCCAAGTCCTTCATCGTGTGTGGGGCTGCTAACGACCCGGTCAACCAGACCTCCGTCAGCTACAGGTAGCTATTGTGTGGGGAGGCGAGGGGAGGCCTGGATGGAAGAAGGAGGTTGAAGGGAGCGGAGGTGCACAAGGAGCCGCTCACGACTCAGTCAAACAGACCTTAGTCAACTACCGGTAGCTGCTGTGTGGGGAGGGGATGTGGGGAGGGGAGGGGAGGGGAGGTGTGGAGGGGAAAACTGGATTGAAGGGAGCATAGGTGGAGGGGAGAAGGGATTGCTCACCATACGGTCAAACAAAGCTTGATCAGCTACAGGTAACTGCTGTGGGGGAAGGGGAGGGGAGGTGTGGAGAGAAGAAGTGGGTTGGAGGGAGCAGAGGTAAAATGGGAGGGGATGTGGGGAGGGGAGGGGAGAAGGGGGTTGAAGGGAGCAGAGGTGGAGGGGAGAAGGGATTGCTCACCATACGGTCAAACAAAGCTTGATCAGCTACAGGTAACTGCTGTGGGGGAGGGGAAGTGGAGGAGAGAAGGGGTTAAAGGAGAGAGGTGGGTATGAGAAGGGTTGAAAGGATAGTAGAGGTAATTGGAGGGAGGAAAGGCAATGAGGGCTGGAGGGAGGTGATGGGTAAGGGCTAGAGGGAGGGGATGGTGTGTGGGGGGCTGGAAGGAGGAGAGGGATAAGGGTAGGTGATGGTGGGCCAGGGCAGGCGCTGTTTGCATCGTAAATTTGCATTTGTAGTATGTGTGGGCTCGTTTTAGACGTTTATGGCACTTCACCGCGAAAAATAGACTTTATGGGTCGTAGCGATGGGAATTTATAGCAGGAAGTGAGGCAATTATAGCAGCAGCAGGCTATAGATAGCAGCCTTGTCTCATTAGCTCTGCAGCAGCAAGTGTTTACGTCAGAGACGGCAAGAGCTGTGATAGATGAGCAGTCACTGAACTCAACAAGTGAAGCTCACATCCAAGAGAAATACACAGATTACAAGTGTTTTTATAGCAGACCACGTTAAAGATGGTAAATTTATATTGCGTTTGGGACTAATTATACATTCAGTTCACATATTTTGCCCTTTTTTATAATACTGCAGCGAAATACACATTTACAAGGTTGTCGTTCGTAGGGAAGTCGGCCAGAGCACCTCGATGGCGAATGTTTCACACGTCTCAGTCGCTGCGCGATTTGTTTCAGATCTCAGCTGATAGATGGCACTGAGGTCGTGCAGGAGATGTACAACAAGGTGCGTCGAGCTGCTCCAGCGATGGAGGACATGCCCCGCAGCGGTCCCGAGGCGCCCCCTGTAGGCCACCATGACATCATCAGCGACATCAACGTCTGTCAGGCGTCACAGCCTCTCATTATCTCAGCTTCGCGCGACGGAGTCATTAAGCTGTGGAAGTAAGCGTGGCACGCGTGACGTAACTCCCAAGGTAGGCTAGGGAAACGCGTTAGCCTCACGTTGGCAAGCCGTGCCAGCAGCTGTTGATTGTAGAGGGCGCTGCTAGCATGTGCTGATTGTAGACATGGCGCTGCTAGCATGTGCTTGATTGGTTAGAAGGCGGCTGGTACGCATGTTGTGTTTGTAGAGGGCACTGCTAGCATTGCTGCTTTGAGCGTGTAACATTGTAGAGGCGTGCTGCTAGCATGTTGATGATTGTAGGAGGGTGCTGCCCTAGATGTGCTGATTAGCGCTGTAGGATGGGCTGTGTAGCATGTGCTAATTGTAGAGGCGTTGACACAGTATGGTGCAACGAGTACTGCTACTGTGTACGATGGTACAGGGCCGGTATCAGCACGTGTTGCTTGGGGGCGTTGCTAGCATGTCATGTTAGGGGCGCTGCCAGCATGTTCTACCAGGGGGAACTACTATCTGTGCGGATGCTAGTTATGCTATCAGCTTCAGTCATAAACTCCCGCGTGTAAGAGTATGTGATAGCTCGCTCATTGGAACGTCATGAATGAGCTAGAGAACCAATAACTATGCCTGTGGGAGCGATGTAAGAGATTATGAACATTATTTCATGGCAAGTGGTTTAACCGTGACAATATATACTGTAGTGTTGTGGAAAGGATGTTAATCAATGATGTATGTTAGATGCATGTATGCCAGACCAGTAAGAGTCTGTTAACGTGCTATGGATGTGAATTTTTGCTACATCAATCGATTCCAGATGTATGTACTAACGGTTTTTGTCTAAGAAAGTATAACGAAGGATGTACATACACAAGAGAATTAGATCTATAAAATGTAAAATGTGTCGTACGCAGATGTATCACAGGTGAATTAGTCTATGAACCATAATGGAAAATATGTAAGTACAATTATGTATCACAGGCGAATTTATTAGTCACTATAAATATAAAAAGTAAAATCCCATAATGGTATGTTTCGTTAGTTGTGGCTACATTATGAAAGTAAAATCCATGATATATAGGAGACAAAGCTGTAAATGGATTCACCACATCATAGTAATACATTCACGGGATTTGTGTTGTAGTATATATGCACAAATACTGCAACATGAATACATATATATACCCATGCACGCTTGCACGCACACTCGTGTGCATATATGTATATAAATGCTTGTGATGGCAGATAATTTCGATCTATGCTGAGTGTAATTAGTTCATGAATGTAAATGGAAACGTCTATTTCTGCATTACTATTTCATATTCCATATGAACTTTACCACTTACGAATTAAGATCTTTGCCACATGATGATTTCAATATTTCATTTTTGTTTCTAAATGCTAGAAGATATATAAAACAGTATTTACAAGTATTCAGACAAGTTATTACTTGTAGTCAATCTTAGTTATAGGTAATGTTCAAGCATGTATATAAGTCATCTGTACATATTGTTGCAGAATAAATTCCATGATGTGTAATTACTTTTAAATGGTCATTTGTTTGTAATCATCAGTACGACCTAGGGTCAGTAGTCATGTGTTGAAACCGAGAAGATCACTTAGGCTATAACAAATCAACGGACAGAAAACAATTTAATTAAACGATTATACAACTAAATATCCGTTAAAACGTCCGCGTCCTATAACATTGTTCCTTTCAACTGAACAGTTTCATCTGTAATTAGGTGTGCTATTAAATGCACCTGATTGCACCATTTCAAAATCTGCTGCGGCTTGCAATCTCCAACAGTCAGGGCGACATCCACTATCATAGATAACTAGAAAACGACATGTTGTCGCCAACTACAGTATTCCCCCGTGATCTAGTATGAATGGAATATCTGTGTAAGGACGTAGAAGGCAGGTAAAGTTAAATAAGTGACAAAGACAAAGGTTTGTTTAGACAACTGGTGTGCCTCAGATTGTGCAAATATATGGAATCTGGTACCCTAGAGGCTGAAGAAGAAATGTAAGTTGACGGTCAAGGTCAAAACTAAGGGCAAGGGCAGTGGTGGTTTTGGTATGCGACAGAACCTCCCCAAGAATGTGTAACATACCAAGTTTGGTCGCCGCTAGGTCAATTAGGGGCTGAGTTAGAGAGCGGAAGGAAATATGATCAAGGTCAAGGTAAAAGGTGAAATAAAGGTGCCAGTGTCCTGGTGGGCAGTTTTTCCCGATGTCGGATCATCTTCAAATTTTGGCATGAAGGGCGTTATGGTAACAGCGAAGACGCCAATCGTTTTTGGTGTGGGCAGAGTCATCGTTGCCATGTAACAACATTTTGTGGAAATATGTAGAACCTGTAACTTGTGCTGTTTTTACACGATTGTCATGGAATTTGGACACAGGGCCGATATGACATGTCTATATATATATATATGTATATATATACATTTTGATGACAATCATAAATTTAAATACAAATTTTAATACAAATTTTAATACAAATATTAAATTTAAAAAAAAATTGTAATTTAATTTTTCCTTTTTTTTAAAATTTAAATTTTAAATATTAAACTTTAAATTAAATATAAATTTTAACTACAAATATAAATTTCATGACAATCGGCGCTACAAACTGGAGAAGTTACAGGTTCTAGAATATTTCAACAAAAATTTTGTTACCATTGGCAACGATGACTCCGCCCACACAAAAGCGGATAGGCGTTCTTCCCTTTACAATAAGGCACCTTCAATGCGAATTTGAAGATGATCTTCGAAGAAGAACTGCAGCCGGTAGGGAGATTCACAGCGAAATCTGCGGGCT